CCGCCTCAGCACTGCTGCGGGCGCTGTTTGCTGCATGCAGCTCCGCCTCAACAGAAGCCAGCCGCTGCTCCAGCGTGGCGCACCGCCCCTCCACCTCCGCGGCGCGCGCGAGGGCCATTGCCTGCCGCCGCCCGCGCTCGCACTCCTCTGCCCTCGGCTCCTCGGGGATGCTGACCTGCTCGTCGAGCAGCGGGCGGATAGAGCACGTGAAGAGGCTGTGCAATGCGCGGTGCAGCATATACATACGTGTGTTCAGTATGCCCACGTCGTTTTTTGCGCGCGAAGTCAAGCAAGAGGAACGCACGCGTAGAATTTTACAACAAAACTCCCTCAGTCTTAGCTCACAACACTGGGCCCGGGACTGGCGCGCACTGGCACTAACACAGGTACACCACGGGAGCCGCCTAAGCGACTCCTGCGAGCGAGGACGGCGAGGCACTTAGCTCCGTGCACCCGCCCGCCCCCGCCACAGGCAAGCTCATTCACCATCTGCTCTGCGATTGCCGTGCGTGTGAAGAACGACCGAGATACGCTGCTTCTGCAGCCCCACGCTGCCTCTCCTTCGACGCAAGGCTCCGACTTCTATAGAGAAAACCCCATCTGCACCAGCGTTTTAAAGTGAAATCGTCAAGAGAAATCGATGCCCCGGGCTGGGCTTTGGGGTAGGCAGCCACCTTTTTGAAGGTGAGGCGTATCTGCCGACCTGTGAAGACGCTTTACTTGCGAGCAGTGCGTCGACCAGATGGCGCGAGGGCACCGCAACATGGCTAAGGAGGCAGGGAAGCTTCTGCTCCGAGACGGCCGCTCAGGACCGCAAAATGGTGTTCCTGAAGGTTGTGTTAGTCGGGCTGGCCAGTCCCCGGGGCCTGACGGTCCAATGTTTCCCTCAAGAGGACTTCTCCCCTACCCCACCCTTCCACTTTATTCGGACCCCCCCCGACGCGCTTCTCGTTTTTCGTGCCAAACCAGCGCGATCTCGGCGGGGCGTCAGCGCCTCTCGGAGGGGCATCATGCGCTCCCGGGGCCGCCCGACGGCGCGGGCCTCTTGCTGATGGACCCAGCCGAGGTGCCCGACCAGTCGGAGTGGCGCTGACGCGCTGCGGCGACCACCAGCCAGCTTTCCGGCCGGGCCGAGAACGGTGCCTCGAGAATGTAGACACTCCAAACAGTTGCCGAGTTTTTTCCCTCTTTTTGAGCGCTGCTGCTGCAAACCCAGCCCACCAGTGATACTAGACGCACCAGATTCACCCCGTCGCGAGCTTGACCGCGACCCCGATGACCGCCCACAGGTGGCTGATCGCGGCGCCACTCATCGCTGCTTTCGCGCGCCTGCTCCACAGAGGGCCCCTGCGGCTCTCCCTCGTCGCGTGACCGCCGCCGACATCATCTGCTCGGTCGTGCCCGCCAGCGCGGAGCTGCGCCACGTCGAATTGTTCGGCGGCTCGACCGCCGGCGCGCCCATCCTCGCCTCCTGCGCGCCTCACACTCAGTTTTCACCTTGCGCGCGGCCGACAAAGTGAGCTCACGACCACCTCCCTCTCAGTCACCCCCGCAACGATGCACAGGTCGTTCGTTCTCGCCGAGAAGACGCTCGGAGCGCCCAACTTTGCCTCGTGCGGCCATCAAACAGGCGCGTTGCCTCCCATCTCCGCACTTCCCATCTACCCCCACACTGCCACTGCCGGGGACGCGCAGATGCGACTCCCGGGCCCGCTCACCTCACCCGAGCCCCGCCGCCTAGGCACAGCCCGACGAGAACCCGCCGGGAAGGAGCTGGCCGAGCCATCGCCGGCCTCCCTGCCGGCTCACGGCCGCTCAAAAGGTCGCTCACCCGCCCGTCGCTTGCCGCCCCTCTCCCACAGCCGTTGCCGGCGACGGGGTCACGAACCTAGTGCTCAGTTCCGTCTTCCTCCCCCTCGCTCCTGTAGGTAGGCCGCCCCGCGCTGGCGGGAAGAGGCGCGCCGAGCCATCGGTGACGTCCTGGCGAGCTCATGGGCCCCCAAAAGGTCGCACCGACCCGTGGCTCCGCGCCGTCGGCTCCGCCGCGAGCGGCGACGGTGAGGCCGACGGTGCTCGCCTATACCGGCTAGTGTGGAGCTTTCAGTGTGGTTGCGTGTTTTACTAGTGATGCTGCACTAGGCGGCCCGTTTTTAGCAAAAACCAGATACCACATCGCGTGTGGTCGTCGAAAAACCGCATCTTCGCCCGTTTTGGACCCCTTCGTACGGCTCCAAAAACGGCTCCTTAACGACGACTACGCGGCCCGGCGGTCGATCTGCGCCTTCTCAGCGGTGGAGGGGATGTGGGCGGTACGTGCGGGCCGCGTGCTGCTGCGATGGCTTGACGAGTGCGACTCCCAGCGTCGACTCTGCGACCCCACGGAGCCTCTGCTGCTCCGGGGGGGGGGGTCTGCAGACCACCCGGCCGAACTTCAGAGTGGCGGTGCTCCTGAAATACCGCTCAAACGCCCACGATATTGTGGAGGGGACATATGCTGATGATCCTGGCCCGATTGGTTCGCTCAGAAAGCTTCTGGGCGGTCGCTAAGGTTCGCTCCCCGCACACCGGCCCCGGAATAAGATACATCATAGGCGGGAGCCAGGGGACAGCACAATGCCGACTTCACATGGAAGGCGATCCGACACTTCAAGGCGAACTCCCCCTCCTTCACTTCCAGGCCCCGGCCTTCTTAGGACTCCTAACACGCATGCGTGGGATTCTAGCGTGGGATGCCCAAGGGGTACGGGGGAGGGGGGGGGCGATAAAGGCGTAGAGTAGTGTCGTTCTTTCGCTAAAACGCAAAAAAAAATCATCAAGCCTACCTGGTATTATCGCTCGAACGAGTCCGACTCCTCGTGGTAAAGCCAGCCCACACTCCGCATCCATGCAACCAGCCTCTGCTTTGTGGACGGTTGCGAGTAATGATCCGCCCAAAACACCGGCGTGTGCTGTTTCAGCCCACCCGAGTTGGGCTTGGCCCTCAGACTCTCTGCCACCGCTTGCGCATCTGGCGCAGCTAGCAGGGCCTCAACGATGGCCTCCGAGTGCAGCCATCCGGCTGCTAGGTGCATTGGTGTCGTGCCCTCGTCCGGCCTCCCGCAGCCCACGTCGGCGCCAGCCTAGCGCGGGGGAGGGCGCTGGGAGCAACACGGAGCTCCGTTGGACGCGTTTTCAAGATTAGCGTGTCAAAGTGAATTGGAACTAGCCAGATCGACCAGTCGGCCCAGGTCGGCGCCATGCACTGGCGGGCTGCACAGCGCGCTAGATTACGCGGAGGACGTGCGCTTACCACCGGGTGGGATTACCAGGCTCGCCTGGGCTCGCTGAGGGTCGATCGCGGCGCGACCCGTTTTCGGCTGTTTTCCTCGCGAATCTGGGGTGCGCGCCGGGAGCTGCAGCGCCAGCGTTTCGCGGACCTGTGCAGCCTCCGGGCACTGGGAACTTCTCCCAGGCTCGGGCAATGCGGACATGTGCCAGCGGGGGCGCGGAGGTGGTTTACATGCGGATGCGGCACGATCTTCGAGCCGAACCGACGATACAGGAGGCTCCAGAGGCGCCGTAATCGACAGTCGGCCGTCACCCAACTCCTCGCCCGCCGTGACTGTGGGTGTCTCCTGATTGCCCACGCTCGTGGCGGAGCTCGGGGTACCACTTTGGGCCACGCGACAAGCCCTGGGGAGTCACTGTAGCTCGCGCGGGGCTGAGAAGCCCCCATTCCCGCGAAAAATCGAGATTTGGCGAGATATAGGGGGCGGTTCTCATTATTTTCGGTGGCCCCAAAGCTACCCAATCACTCGCCCACCTCCCCCAAGCAGTCTAGTCCAAAAAAAACCGCGCCCCGATCAAGTTACGTTTTCAGTGTTTGCCCCTACCCGGGGGGGGGGGGTATTAAAGTTTTGGAGTCAGTTTTTGCTTTTTTGTTTTTAGCGGTCGGGTGCTCAACGCATCCCGAGTTTACGGCCCGAAATCGCGCTGACGGAGTGCCACCATTTTCATTTCTTTATATTGGACGTTTGGCGGTGGCACTCTCCAACTACCTATACACGGCCCGGACCTGTAAACCCCTCCCGGCCCTCTCCACCTCCGACGCCCGCTGCTGCGCGCCCAGCCGCAAGTGCGCGGCGGCCTCCTCCGCGCTGCACGGCCCGCTCCACTCCGACGCCCTCTCCCCGCCAGTCAGCCTCCTCGGCTCGACCGGCACGGGCAGCACCGGCCCGAGCCCGCCCGCGCCGAGCGCCGCGCATGGTGCCGCGCCCTCGGTCTCGCCCTCGCCCGCGCCCTGAGCCGGCTGCACGGCCACGCCGGCCACGCCCGCCGCGGCGTCCTCGCGCCGGATCGCGTGCTCGAGGAGGGCGCCGGCGGCGAGCAGCGCCGCCTCGCCGCCCGGCTGGCCGACCAGCTGCACGCCGACAGGCAGCCCTAACAAAGAAAGCCCGACCGTATTTCTTTTTCTTGCGGGCCGCGGGGGGGCGGACGTGGCGTGCGCCGTCGGCGGTGCTGCCGGCAGGGAGGGCGAGGCAGGGCAGGCCGGTGAGCGAGATGACCGAGCAGGGGAGCATCCACTCGATGTAGTCTGCAAAGGAGACCGCCTCGCCCTCGCCGCCCGCCCCGCCCAAGCCGAGGGGCGGGGCCTCGCCCCCGCCGCCCACCCCGCCGAGGGCCGCGGGGTACCGCAGCTCGCCGCGAAAGGGCGGCATCAGCGTGCAGGGGCAGACGAGCAGGTCGTGCTCCCGCAGAAAGGCGAGCGCCGCCGCGTGCATCCGCTGCCGCGCTCGTTCCGCCGCGGCGACCGCCTGCGGTTACAGGGGTCCGCCCAGGGGGGGGGGGGGGGGGGGTCAGGCTCGTGCGCCGCCGCCTCCGCCTCCGCCCGCAGCAGAGGCAGTGCCTGCTCGAAGCCGTCCCCCCGCGCCCGCTCGAGCTCCCACAGAACCTCCGGCTTGGTGGTGCCGCTGTGGAGGTCAAGGAAGGAGCGCGATGCGGAGGGGCCGCCTGCGATGCCGTCCTGCGGCGGTCGGGCGCCGCCGCCGCTCAGCGCAGGCACCGAAGCGCACTGCAGGAGGCGGAGGGAGGAGGGAGGAAGGGGAGGAAGGGGAGGAGGGGAGGGGATGAGGGTAGGAGGGGAGGAGGGGACGAGGGGGGGAGGAGGGGAGGACGGGATGAGGGTTCGACGGGGGGAGGGTAGGAGGGGAGGAGGCGAGGGGATGGGAGCATAGAAGAGTTAGGGGAGGGTAGAAGGGAGGCGGTGTGGTGTCCCGCTGTCCCGAGGTCGACCTGCTGGCGCGACGCGCGGAGCGTTCGGAAGACGTCCGCCGCCGCCTCGAGGCCCTCGGGGAAGGCTTCGGTCAGCCGCGTCTCCGCCGCCGACCGCCGTCCGGGCCGAGCCCGGCCGAGGAGGGCGGCGGAGCGGCGGACGGCGGCGGCGACCGCCGGGTGTACCCCGCGCAGCAGGCCTCCGAGGTCGACCGAGTAGGCGACCTGTACACTCACAGCCGGGGGTGTGAAAGAGACGCCGTGCCGCGGGGGCACGCCCGCCCTTCTTCAGGCGCGGCACGGCCACCGAGCGAGGCGCGGCATCGGGCCCGCAATGCCGCACGTGGTGCAGGTAGCCGCGCCGAGGCGGCTGAGGCAGCGGCGGGCAGGCCAGCGGCTCCCAGCCCGCCGCGGGCGGCACGAACCTGCGTGACAAGCTCCGAGACGGGTCGGAAGAGGCGGCCCCAAACCCCTTCACCCCGCGGACGGACGGCCGAGCCCGGCGGCGTCGGCGGCGTCGGCGGCGTCGGCGGCGGCGGCGGCGGCAGCGGCGTCGGCGGCGGCGGCGGCGGCAAGGGGGGATGCGCGAGGGGCGAGAGCGTCGAGTAGCAGCGCGACGTCCTGCTCGCAAGCGGCCGCAGGTGTGAAGAGGCGCGCGGCTCACAGCGAGCTGCTCAGAGCCGCAGCGCGTCTCGGGGCGTCTCGGGCAATCTCGAGGAATCTCGGGGAATCTCGGAGCCGCGGCGCGGCCTCGACGGTGCGCCCCATTGGCCCGTGGACGGCGTGCAGCCCGAGGCCCCACCTGCAGGTGCAGAGACGCGTCTCACCGAAGGAGCATGCTGCGGCCAAGGTACGCGGGGCGTGCGAGGTGCACACGGCGAAGAGCAGGCGTGGAGCAGGCGTGGAGAGGAAAAGGAGGCAGCAGGGAGGGTGGTGGTTGGGCACCGGCCGCGCCACGCTGTCGGCGCCGCATCGGACTGCGGGCAGCGGCCTGGCGACGGGCGCAGGCCGACGACGCTGCAAAACGCGGCGGGGTTGCGCAGCGAGCCGCCCAGGTCGCTTCCGGTTGCCAGCCATGCGGCGCCCGACGCGAGCGCCGCCGCGCCGCCGCCCGTCGATCCTCCGGCCGTCCGGCCGAGGTCGTGCGGGTTGTGTGTGGCGCCAAAGACGGGGTTGAAGGTGTGCGAGCCGGCCGCGTGCTCCGGCATGTTTGTGACGCCGAGGACGACCCCGCCCGCCGCCTCGAGCGCCTGCGGACAGGCTCCTAGGAGGTGCAGAGGACGGCTCGCCGTGGTGGGGTCGGTCTCCCGCCGCCGCGAGCCTCGACGAGAGGGTGAGTGGTGGCCGCGATCCGCGTCGCGTGCATCGGCGCGCCGGCGGTGCAGCGGACGCCTGCGACGGCCTGGTTGTCCTTGACGAGGACGGGCAGGCCGAAGAGCGGGCCCGGCGCGCCGCCGCTCTGTGCAAAGCTTGCCGCACGCGCGCGTGCCCGCTCCTCGCAGAGCGTGACGACCGCGTTGGTGGCAGCGTTGGTGGCGGCGATCCGTCGCACGGCGACGTCGATGAGTTTCGCCGGCGTGACTTGGCCGCACTCGAGCTGCTGAACCACGGCGGCTGCCGGCGAACGCCAGAGCGCGTCGAGGGCCACCTCGGCCTCGCAGGCACGGCGGCGGCGGCGGATGTGGTGGGCAAGTACGATGGCAGCGGCGGCGGCAGCGGCGGAGGCGGCGACGGCGGCGGCGGCGATGGTGGAAGGGGCGCTTGGCATGTATGTGTGTGTGTATGCTGCCCGATGCTTCACTCATGCTTCGGTGTGAATCACGCCCGCTGTGAACGGAGCTGCTCTTTGAAAACAAGTGCGCTAAATAGAGCACGAAAATACCTTTCAGACGGTACCTTTCTGTCCTCCAGAGTCGAAGAACTCGACCGGTGGCTGGCCGCCAAAGTGGCTGGACGGCGCCGCGGCGCACACTGGTGAGCCGCGGAGCACACTAAGGGAGCTGTCCTCGGCGCAGCCGATCGGCTCCCGCGGCCTGGGTGATGGCAGTGGCACTCTCTGAGGCTCCCTGATTTTTTCTGGTATTTGTTGAGCACTCTCTGGTCACCTTCGCCGGGCGAGCCTGGCTCTCGCTGCACAGCCTCGGCTACATCAAGAGCCTCGTATCTCCCCACACCTCCCCACATCTCCCCACACCTCCCCACACCTCCCCACACCTCCCCACATCTCCCTATACCTCCCCCACATCTCCCCACACCTCCCCACACCTCCCCACACCTCCCCTCACCTCCCCTCACCTCCCCTCACCACCCCACACCTCCCCACACCTCCCCACACCTCCCCACACCTCCCCACACCTCCCCTCACCACCCCACACCTCCCCACACCTCCCCACATCTCCTCACATCCCCACATCTACTCCCCACCTATATAGGTCGCCAGGACGAGGAGGCCTCGAGATGTTTTGCCACCTGTCACTTTTGGCAGAGTGGCTCGGCGTGACTCTCGCGATCGAGTGGCTGCCAGATCGAGTCCTGTTGGATTAGTGGTTAGATCACCAGCTTTACACGCTGGGAGTCGACGGTTCGATCCCGTCACAGGACATTTTGCTGTTTTCCGGCGACACTCGCTCCGACCTCTCTCTTTCTCTCTCTATAAAGGGAACTTCTTTGATTTTTCCTGGATTGTTCTACTCCCCTCATCTCAGAGCCCGTGGCGGCCCAAAGAAAGGCGCCGGAGAGAAAAGAAAAGGAAGCGCCTCCTGCGCGCCCCCCAGCGTTTTCTTTTTCCAAATATACATATAATGTCGACCCCGAACCGCCGCTCGCGCCGCTCGCGCCGCCTCGCCGCCGCCGCCACCGCCTCGCCCTCCACGCCGACACCCACCCTCCTCCTCGACCTCCCCACGGACCTCCTCGTGCGCGCCCTCTCTCGCTGCGATCCCGCCGACATCGCTCGCGTCGCGGCCGTCTCGCTGCTCTTCCACGCATCGCTCGCAGAGCAGGGCATCCGCTTGCGCCTGCAGGAGGCCGGCTACGAGCCGCCGGCGCAGCCAGAGGGCGAGAGCTGCGCCGTCCGGTGGCTGTGCTTGTATGCCCTGCTGCGCGAGTCCAGCCCGCCGGTGAGGCTTGCGGCGGGCTGTCAGCACAGCGTTTTCATCGACGGCGAGGGGCGGCTCTCGTCGTGCGGCGCGGCAGCGGAGGGCGGGGAGGACGAGGAGGCCGAGGAGGACGAGGAAGCGGACGAGTTTCCAGGCCTTCTCGGCCACGGCGAGGGCGTGCTGCAGCTGAAGACGCCGACCCGCCTTCCGTCACTCCTCGGAGGCGAGCGCGCGGTTGGTGTGGCGGCGTCACGATACTACAGCCTCGCTCTCACCGCGGACGGCGCCGTTTGGTCCTGGGGCCGCGGTGAGCTGGGACACGGCGCTAGGGAGACTCAGTGGCAGCCCAAGAAGGTCGAGGCCTTGGCTGGCCAGCGCGTCATTGCTGTGTCGGTTGGCTTGAGCCACAGCCTCGCCCTCACCGCGGACGGCGCCGTGTGGAGCTGGGGCGATGATTGGCGAGGCATGCTGGGCCACGGCGATCAGCAGAACCAGCTGTTGCCCAAGAAGGTCGAGGCTTTTGCTGGCCAGCTCGTCGTCGCTGTCTCGGCTGGCTTTAGCCACAGCCTCGCCATCACTGCCGACGGCGCAGTCTGGAGCTCGGGCATGGGAGGCTACGGCCAGCTGGGCCACGGCGACGAGCAGGACCAGCCGCTGCCGAGGAAGGTCGAGGCCTTGGCGGGTCAGCGCGTCGTCGCCGTGTCGGCTGGAGTCGCGCACAGTCTCGCCATCACCACCGACGGCGCTGTCTGGAGCTGGGGCGAGGGAGGTGGCGGCCAGCTGGGCCACGGCGACGAGCAGAGCCAGCTGCTGCCCAAGAAGATCGAGGCCTTGGCTGGCCAGCGCGTTGTCGCTGTGTCGGCTGGAGCAGTCCACAGCTTCGCCATCACCGCCGACGGCGCAGTCTGGAGCTGGGGCTATGGAGGCTGTGGCAATTTGGGCCACGGCGACGAGCAGAGCCAGCTTCTGCCGAAGAAGATCGAGGCCTTAGCTGGCCAGCGCGCCGTCGCCGTGTCAGCAGGGCAGTATCACAGCCTCGCCCTCACCGCCGACGGCGCTGTCTTTACCTGGGGCGCTGGCGGACTCGGCCGCTTAGGCCACGGAGAGGACCTGTCGAACCAGCTGCTGCCCAAGAAGATCGAGGCGTGGTCGCGGGGGCGAGAGGGGGGCGAGGGGCGCGTAGCTGCGATAGGAGTACGACCGGCTCGGGAGAGGCCAAGTGTTCCGGGTGGGGGGGGGGGCTAACTGGCCTCAAGCGCTAGTGCAGCTAGACCCTAGTAAGAGCTACACTCAGACCCTTGTGGCTAGGGGGCCCAGAGAATGTTGGATGACGTGAGAGCTGGCGGCGGGCGCGTGGGGGGGCACTGCTCACTGGTCACTGGAGACTGGTTCTGCCTCAGCCGGCAGTGTAGGGTTCCTCTCTCGTAAGGAGAGCTTCCTAAGTTCCGGACATAAATACAGTACCACATGCATACGGCACGACGCACACACAGACGTCTTCTCGTCCTCGACAC